CCAGCCAGCATAGCTGGCTGGGGAATTCTGGGAGTTGAAGTCCACATATCTTAAAGCTGCCACGGTTGAGAAACACTGGGTTAAGGTGTCAGACTAGGTTTGATGAATTTCAGCCATGGAAATTCATCATTAGATTTGGACCAGTTACTACCTTTCAAGCTAAGCTGCCCCAAAGCATTGTTATTGGAAGAAAATTTGGAGGAAGAAATGCCATATATACTGTTTGAAATTTCTGGAATAAAGGTGAGGTATAAATCAAATAAATTCCAGGAAATAAATGTATGTACTATATGTTGTCTGTATATGCTTAAGTAGATTTTAAAAGACTTTACTTTGAATTATGAAGATGACTATGGAATCTCGCCTAATAGTAAGACATACAATACAGATTAAATGTCATATAGAATGTATATATTTCACAGATCATAGCCCATTCACAGCTGAAGATTGTTTAAATATTCACTCTACCTCATTTGCAAAACAGAAATTAATTGCATTCCATAAAGCCAAGGGGGAACCTATCCGTTTAAAAAAATAATGTATGAATAATGCAGAGAACTACATTTTATGTTTATTTCTGTATAAACTCCTAAGACATTTAACATTCTAGTAATCAGTTTAGGACAGTTTTCTGCGACTGAATTTCATATGACAGAAGAACCAATATTAATTGTTTGAGAAGGCCATATGGTTTGTATATATTCTGGCAACAAAGCATTGCTAAAAATAACATTTCTTTTTTCCTGACAATGTGGAAGGTTTCTATCCCTAAGTACTTAAAATCTGCAGTATATCATGAGCTGTACAATGGGGAAAGAAACTGGAATTACACTTTTTAAACATTCATATTTTTTCTTCACAATAACCGTTTATACCTGCTGTCAACAGAGGCAAAATTTACACCCACAGAGAAAGGAAAGCACTTTTGAAAAATACACAGTAATCTGTGTTTAAACATTGAGACCTTGCTTTTTCAAAGTCCAAATGTCATTAAGTACTCTTTCTCTGTTCACTGAGCCCTTAAAATCTTATCTCCAACTGGTTTATGTCAAAAGCTTTGTCAAAAGCAAAAAATTTTCACTCCCCATAAATATCAGCTTGTCATAATAAATGTTAAGTGGTTTTTTTTTTTTTTTTTTTACAAAAATGACTTATATCCCAAAAGGTTGGCCTCTGTGTATGTGTGTGTGTGAGTGAGGCAAGATGGTTTACATTTATATGAACATATATAGATACAATTAAAATAAATTGGAGTTTTTAAATATTTGTTGCATGATAGGGTAATGTAATGTGTTATTGTTACTGATTGAATGAACATGCCTCTAATCTTGTATTGTTATGTATTACCTTGGCTGCTTGTATATATTTTAATTCTTTGAGACACTCTGGAGTTAGTTCTTCTAGAAGTTTCAGAAAATCAAATAGCAAGAAAAACCTGTTCCAGTTTCTACTGCCTTTTGTATGGTCAGTAGAAAAGAAAACAACTATGGCTACAAAGGGTGACAACAAAAATAAGTGCTCCTGAAGCCTAGTCTTATCCCCAAACGAAGAGAAAAAGCAGTAGACAAACAAAAAATAACATTGAACCATCTGCAGCGAGTAAAGACTAAGGATGAATGGTGATGAATGCACCATTGGGAGACTTGAAAGAGCAGGTTAGGGATAGATCCTCATGGAGTCAATCCATCTTTGTGGTTGCTAGGAATTGAAAACGACTTGATGGTACATAATCAAAGACAAAGGAAAAAGGTACACAGCATGAGGGCTTGCTTTCTTGGGAATGAATATATATTTGGTAGTCTCACAGATAAATGGACATTACATACAGAGAGATGTGAATACTTTTTGAGGGAAATGAGATAGTTCCTGAAAAAAAATGATGCCTGTTTTACTGAGTTTTATGGAAGGCAAAGTGTACAGCTCATTAAGAAGCTTAACTGCCTCACAAAACTGATCGCAGTTCAGTTTTGCAGAACTAGTAAAAATAATGCAGGAACATTTGGCGCCAAAATTGATTGTTATTATTGATAGCAGAGCATTTCAGGTTTCATAAACACAGCTTGAAAGAGGGGAAAATCTGGTGCAATTGAATTTTAAAAGATGCCTGGACCAATTTGGTGAAAGGATAAATGATGCAATCTAATCACCAACTAGTTGGTTGGTAGAATTCTGAAAGAAAAGAAAATAGAGGCAGATTTAACATTTAGGCAGCATTAGAAATAGTTATTTCCATAAATACTGCTGCTAGAGATACTATAGAGTTGCATTCAGGAGTAAAAGCAAATGTAAGTAGGCTTACAATAACATACAGACACTTAGTAACAGATCTAAATGAATCATGCTATCATTGTGGTAGAGGTTCACACACACCAGCTGAATGAAGATTTAAAGGAGAAACTGGAAGAAAATGCAATACAGTAGTATATTTGGGCAACTTTTCATTAAAGGAAAAGCAAACCACCTGATAGATATAATTAACCAACCCATTATTTAAACGGAATGCATGAGGTATGATACAAATGAGGAATATTACATTGAAAGTGAAATAGAGATAGCTAACCCAAAAATCTATAACATAAAAGGTAAAATGAGATCAGCAATATGTTTCACACCAGTTGTTGTTGATGATGTGCTATCAAGTTGTTAACTCTTAACAACCACACAGAGATTTTCACCATGATGATCCATTGCTAACCTGGTCCTTCAGCTCTTCCAATGGTATGCACTCATCACTACTCCAATTGAATCTCTCAACCTTGCTGCTGGTCATTTTCTTCTCCTACTTCTACCTTTCCCAGCATTAGAGCCTTTTCCAGAGAGCTGGGTCTTCACATAATGTGTCCAAAGTAGGACTTCTACCTTTCCCAGCATTAGAGCCTTTTCCAGAGAGCTGGGTCTTCACTTAATGTGTCCAAAGTAGGACTTCTACCTTTCCCAGCATTAGAGCCTTTTCCAGAGAGCTGGGTCTTCACATAATGTGTCCAAAGTAGGATGATCTGAGCCTGGTCATTTGTTCCTCGAGTGTTTGTTTGATGATCCATTTGTTTGTTTTCTTGGCTTCCATGCCCATGCCAGAAGTGAATGCCAAAACCATATCAGTGCATTGGACAGAGGTTCAGCTATATCAGTTATATTACAATGTGAATTTGAGTAACATTTTAGAGATGTGAACAAAAGCCATCAGAAATTCAATTAAAAACTTACACTGGAAAAAGATCATTCCCATTGGAGTGATCATTGTAACTATCAAATATAGAACCACTAAGTTATGTTGGACTTACATAATACCTTGTGTAAACATATGGACTGGACAAGCATGACTGGCTAAGGAAGTTGCCTTTGTCAGAGTTGCACAAAGTTGCACCGCACTGAGCAGTGCCAGAAGAAAGACAACTTGGACTCTGCTTTAGTTATTTCTACAGACTATATTATGTGCAACTATATACACACGCTAGTCTTACAGTTGAAGACAGCACTTTCTATATACATACAGCAATATACCTTACCCATGAACCTACAATACTCCAGAGCTCTCAGTAACACGCAGCAACAGCCAGCAGTATGCAGACTGCTTATATCCCCCACATTGTGCTAAGTCAGTACTCATCAGGTTTGGCAATTAGCTCATTAGACCCGACTACCTGGTTTGCCTCATGTTATTCACACAGTAAAATTTCCTTATGAATATACCTTAACAGCCTTTGGATTGGAGCTCCATCAGGAACCAGCACGTGACACTTCCTATTATGGAGATCATCAAGAAGAAGCCATAAAAGCTATTGGAGGAGACTGCACTGTCTTCAAAGAACACTGAAGCACATGAAAAGTAAAATAATGTTACAGGAAAATTCCAATCCAAATTTCACAAAGCATGTCACTCCTATATCCCATATGCAAAAAAATGAACTAAGCTGGATTGGATGGAACCTGAAGAAATTTTATCAAAAGGTGATTTGAGCCCAGGGGCTACATCTGAGTTCCAGTAGCTAAGTCAGACCTGTCGTGATTTGTGATGATTTTACAATTACCATTAATCCACTACCATTAATCCACTATTACAGACTGAACAATAGCTTTTCTTATTTTTTTCTAACTAAGCTGGGGAGATAACATTTCAGCAAAACAGACCTAGCAGAGGCTTATTTACAGATGGAAACAGAGAAAGATTCCAAGGTGTTTTTCACCATAAATATAAAGAGTTACATCACTGCAAAAGAACTGTTTTTGGGAAAGCATCTGCACCAAGATGTGCCACAGGTATAATTCATTTTAGGTTTTGATTATTTTAACAGCTTTCTGCTGAACCTAGCCCTTTGAAC